CAGGGAAGATGCATATCAACACTACCCCAGCAAAAGCTGCCACAACCATTATCACCGCCACAAGAACGGCAACAACTATATTCACTGAAAGAAGACAATACTGCAACCATCTTCACCCCCACAAGAACTACTGCAACCATCTTCACCCCCACAAGAACTACTGCAACCATCTTCACCCCCACAAGAACTACTCCACACATCTCCTACATCTCAAAAGCAACTACAACAATATTCATGCACAAATAAAAACAACATTAAAACCATCGCAAGAACTACTACAAACATCACCACCACCAAAAGAACTACTACAGCCACCACAATCACAAGAACTACTACAACCATCACCACCACAAGAACTACTCCACACATCTCCTACATCACAAAAGCAACTACAACAATATTCATGCAGAAATAAAAACAACATTAAAACCATCGCAAGAACTACTACAAACATCACCACCACCAAAAGAACTACTACAGCCACCACAATTACAAGAACTACTACAGCCATCACCACCACCACAAGAACTACTACAGCCATCACAATCACAAGAACTACTACAGCCCCCACCACCACGTGAACTACTACAGCCATCACAACCACAAGAACTACTACAGCCATCACAATCACAAGAACTACTACAGCCATCACAACCACAAGAACTACTACAGCCACCACCACCACAAGAACTACTACAGCCATCACAACCACAAGAACTACTACAGCCATCATCACCAGTACAAGAACTACTACAACTATTATTACAAGAAGAACTACTACAATAATTAACACCACAACAAGAACCAGTACAACCATCAGCAACACAACAATCACCACCACAAGAAGAACTACTCCAGCTATCACCATAAGAAGAACTACTACAACAACCATCACCACCACAACAAGAACTACTATAACAATCACCAACACAAAAAGAACTGCTACAACAATCAATACCACAACAAGAACTGCTACAACCATCACCACCACAACAAGAACTGCTACAACCATCCCCACCACAACAAGATCGACTAAAACCACCAGCACCACAACAAGAACTGCTACAACCATCACCACCACAACAAGAACTGCTACAACCATCCCCACCACAACAAGAACTGCTACAACCATCACCACCACAACAAGAACTGCTACAACCATCCCCACCACAACAAGAACTGCTACAACCATCCCCACCACAACAAGAACTGCTACAACCATCACCACCACAACAAGAACTGCTACAACCATCCCCACCACAACAAGAACGACTAAAACCACCAGCACCACAACAAGAACTGCTACAACCATCACCACCACAACAAGAACTGCTACAACCATCACCACCACAACAAGAACTGCTACAACCATCCCCACCACAACAAGAACTGCTACAACCATCACCACCACAACAAGAACTGCTACAACCATCCCCACCACAACAAGAACTGCTACAACCATCACCACCACAACAAGAACTGCTATAACCATCACCACCACAACAAGAACTGCTACAACCATCCCCACCACAACAAGAACTGCTACAACCATCACCACCACAACAAGAACTGCTACAACCATCCCTACCACAACAAGATCGACTAAAACCACCAGCACCACAACAAGAACTACCGCAACAGTAACAACCACAAGAACTAATGCAACTATCAACACCACAAAAACAAGTACAAACATCACCATCACAAGAACTACTACAACCATCACCTCAATTACTACAGCCATTATCACCGACAGAGGGCATACAAGAGGACCGGCAGATCTACTTTGCTGCTGCCTATATGGTGGACATCAGAGGTTGGACAGGAATTGAAGTTAAAAAGAGCTGCAGAAAATCTTTTAGAGAAAGTGCGAAGGACAACCCTGAGATCATAGGACGAATTTGAGTGCACGGAAAGAGATAAGAGAGATAAGATAGAGTTGTTCTGCAAAATGGGAGCATCCTATTGATGCGATTGAGAGCGATAACATGTTGGGGAAGTTTTGAAAGTTACATAGGCAGATGCTCAAGAAATATTGGCCCGGCGTAGTAGAAGCAATTTATAGAAATGACTGTATGCTATTAACCGCAGACAAAGAGAAAGTGTAGGCTTTCCTAAAGAGGTTCGTTTCACAGACAGACCACAGTGAAATAACAGAGATATAGTTAGAGAAGACCTCGCTGCTATCATAAAGAACAAACATTATGAAGACATTATACAAGCGAAAGATATCAAACTTGTTCTGAAAAGAGCGAAAGACACGGTACCCAGGCCCGACGGTATTAGATATTCCCAAATGGAAGACATGAGTGATGCAGACATGTTAGAGATGACTGCTTGCTTCAACCAGAGCATTGGGACAGCTTCAGTCTCAAAAGAGTGGGTGCACAGCTACCTGATTCCACTTCCTAAGCCTGGAAAGTATCATTCAAAACTCGGGGGCTTTAGGATCATAACCCTACAAAACACCTTTGTTAAAGTGCTGTAGAAGATAGTGGTGGGTAAGCTACACGAATGTTTGGAACAGAGAAATCTCCTTCCACGAGGATTGGGAAGTTATAGGCCGGAGAAGGACACATGGTCAAATGCAGCCATTTTTGCCTTTAATACCTTCAAAGGTTTCCAGAACTGACAGGAAATTGTGGCAGCGGCACTCGGTTTAGAAGACGCTTACAACAGAGTCTGATACAGTATCTTGATGAAAGCGCTTATTGAGAAGGAAGTCTGTCCTTGTTTGGTGAACTGTATGGCAGCTGTTGTGTATACTCGTCGGGTATTTCTGGTCTGGGTTTATGGACGTCTGAACGATGTATTATAGCTCCCAGGCTGCCACAGGGATCTGCAGCTTCACCTGTACTGTTCAATGTTTTTACGAGCAAGATTGCCTACCTGTAAACACCTGGAGTGGCAGAATATTCACTTTTGCAAATGCTGTTCTCGTAAATAGGAAGGGGAGAGATCGGAATCAAATAGCTGAAGAATTACAGGCAAAAGTAGATAAGGTGATCGACTGGTGTACAGAGATGAGTTGATGCAATCAACCCAGAAAAAGCAACCGTTCTGTGGTGTTTTTTTTTTGGACAATAATGCTGATGTTCCGAGACTCACCAAAAAAAAAAAAAAAAAAAAAAAACGGCAAGGACATCAAAAGAAACATCAGACTGCGGTACCTAGGAATCACGTTTGACAGAAGTTTAATCTTTCAAGGATCACATAGAGGGGATTGTGACAAGGGCTCAGAAAGGTCTAAATGCATTAAAGATTATGGCAGCGATGGACATGGAGTAGAGAATGCTGTTCACACTTTACCAGCACTTTATCATCTCAGTGATTGATTTTTGATTACTCACTGTCTCGAAAAGTCACCTAGAGAAACTGGAGCGCATACAGAATGAAGATATGCAGGCGATCCTGGGATGTACAAGAGACACCCGATTGTGTGCATGCGATATATCCTTGCATTGCCAACTATTGCAGATAGGCTAAAGGTGTTGTACACTAAGTCATACCTCAGAGTAGCTGCAGACAAAGAACACCCTCTGTATGAAGCTTTGGCTGCAGGCAAGGGTTAGAGGCTGAAAAGGGGAAAATCGTGGATGGCTCAAGTAGAAGACACAATGAGACAAGTATGCATGCTGGAGAACATTTCGGCGAGGAGACGAGTGGGTCAGAGAACCAGAGGAAAAGTCTGACCTGTGTGGGGTTATGATCACATTGGGCCGGGTGTGCAGAGAGTGGCCATCGGGTGCTACGCAGGTGGAAGTCCAACAGTTGATTCACGACAATTCACGCATAGGTGATCTGATTATCTATATAGATCGTTCGGTGTTGAGAGGAAATAGAAGTGTCTGGGTGTTTGAGAGGGAAAGCCAATGGAAAATCTTTAGTGCAAGACAGCCTAGCAAACGACATCACAACATCTAGCAAGAGAATGGAGGTGGAGGCGATAACTGCAGCTCTCCGGTGACTAGAGAACTAGATCATACGTGTCGTAATTGTAACAGACTTTGAAAGCACGCTGAGAAAGGTGAAGAAAGGTGGCAAGCTTCACTGGAAATTTAATTGATAGTGAGCATACTTTGGATCTTTTCTCAAGGCCATGCCGGCGTGATAGGTAATGAACAGGCAGACAGATTGGCTGGATGTGGTCAAAGCCCTTTGGAAACAAGCACAGGAATCAGTATAGAAAGAAGATTATTATGGCTAGGAGAGAATGGGGAACCTGGGTGTGACCAGAGGGTCTGGCCGGCTCACTACACTCACAGGAAAGGCAAGATGGACATATAACCAGATTGTGACCGGTACCATAAGTATTGAAACTATGCGCTGGCTGCTGAAGATGAGGACGGAGCATGGATGGGAATGCCCCGAGTGCTGTGATGTCAAGTCTTGACTCAACTCAACTTAGCTCAGCTCAACTTAACACAAGAACTACTACAACCATCACCACCACAAGAACTACTACAACCATCACCACCACAACAAGAACTACTACAACCATCACCACCACAACAAGAACTACTACAACCATCACCACCACAAGAACTACTACAACCATCACCACCACAACAAGAACTACTACAACCATCACCACCACAACAAGAACTACTTCAACCATCACCACCACAAGAACTACTACAACAATCACCACAACAAGAACTACTACAACCATCACCACCACAAGAACTACTACAACCATCATCATCACAACAAGAACTACTACAACCATCATCATCACAACAAGAACTACTACAACCATCATCATCACAACAAGAACTACTACAACCATCAACACCACAACAAGAACTACTACAACCATCACCACCACAACAAGAACTACTACAACCATCAACACCACAACAAGAACTACTACAACCATCATCATCACAACAAGAACTACTACAACCATCAACACCACAACAAGAACTACTACTACACCATCACCACCACAACAAGCACTACTACAACCATCACCACCACAACAAGCACTACTACAACCATCACCACCACAACAAGAAACTACTACAACACCAAACCACCACCACCACAAGAACTACTACAACCATCAACACCACAACAAGAACTACTACAACCATCAACACCACAACAAGAACTACTACAACCATCACCACCACAAGAACTACTACAACCATCACCACCACAACAAGCACTACTACAACCATCACCACCACAACAAGCACTACTACAACCATCACCACCACAACAAGCACTACTACAACCATCACCACCACAACAAGAACTACTACAACCATCACCACCACAACAAGAACTACTACAACCATCACCACCACAACAAGCACTACTACAACCATCACCACCACAACAAGCACTACTACAACCATCAACACTACAACAAGAACTACTACAACCATCATCATCACAACAAGAACTACTACAACCATCAACACCACAACAAGAGCTACTACAACCATCATCATCACAACAAGAACTACTACAACCATCAACACCACAACAAGAACTACTACAAACATCACCACCACAACAAGCACTACTACAACCATCACCACCACAACAAGCACTACTACAACCATCACCACCACAACAAGCACTACTACAACTATCACCACCACAACAAGAACTACTACAACCATCACCACCACAACAAGCACTACTACAACCATCACCACCACAAGAACTACTACAACCATCACCACCACAACAAGAACTACTACAACCATCATCATCACAACAAGAACTACTACAACCATCATCATCACAACAAGAACTACTACAACCATCAACACCACAACAAGAACTACTACAATCATCATCATCACAACAAGAACTACTACAACCATCAACACCACAACAAGAACTACTACAACCATCACCACCACAACAAGCACTACTACAACCATCACCACCACAACAAGCACTACTACAACCATCACCACCACAACAAGCACTACTACAACTATCACCACCACAACAAGAACTACTACAACCATCACCACCACAACAAGCACTACTACAACCATCACCACCACAAGAACTACTACAACCATCACCACCACAACAAGAACTACTACAACCATCACCACCACAACAAGAACTACTTCAACCATCACCACCACAAGAACTACTACAACAATCACCACAACAAGAACTACTAAAACCATCACCACCACAAGAACTACTACAACCATCATCATCACAACAAGAACTACTACAACCATCATCATCACAACAAGAACTACTACAACCATCATCATCACAACAAGAACTACTACAACCATCAACACCACAACAAGAACTACTACAACCATCATCATCACAACAAGAACTACTACAACCATCAACACCACAACAAGAACTACTACAACCATCATCATCACAACAAGAACTACTACAACCATCAACACCACAACAAGAACTACTACAACCATCACCACCACAACAAGCACTACTACAACCATCACCACCACAACAAGCACTACTACAACCATCACCACCACAACAAGAACTACTACAACCATCACCACCACCACCACAAGAACTACTACAACCATCAACACCACAACAAGAACTACTACAACCATCAACACCACAACAAGAACTACTACAACCATCACCACCACAAGAACTACTACAACCATCACCACCACAACAAGCACTACTACAACCATCACCACCACAACAAGCACTACTACAACCATCACCACCACAACAAGCACTACTACAACCATCACCACCACAACAAGAACTACTACAACCATCACCACCACAACAAGAACTACTACAACCATCACCACCACAACAAGCACTACTACAACCATCACCACCACAACAAGCACTACTACAACCATCAACACCACAACAAGAACTACTACAACCATCATCATCACAACAAGAACTACTACAACCATCAACACCACAACAAGAACTACTACAACCATCATCATCACAACAAGAACTACTACAACCATCAACACCACAACAAGAACTACTACAACCATCACCACCACAACAAGCACTACTACAACCATCACCACCACAACAAGCACTACTACAACCATCACCACCACAACAAGCACTACTACAACTATCACCACCACAACAAGAACTACTACAACCATCACCACCACAACAAGAACTACTACAACCATCACCACCACAAGAACTACTACAACCATCACCACCACAACAAAATCTACTACAACTATCTTTACGTGTGGGCTCGGGACTCTATTTTAGGGAAAACGAGAATAGACCCGCTGCATACCCAAAAGCATGTCGTAAGAGTCGACTAATTTGGAGCTTTCGTTGAAGTCGCAGTGCCTCTGCCTGGGAGGCAAGGAACTAGCAATCTGCATACAAATGAGTTAGTTCGGTAAAACAGATGCAACACCCAACACTCAGGTTCTGGAAGAGGACTACAGTCCAAAAATGGATGAACAACCAGAACTTTCCGCCGGGGTTTACAGCTGGTGAACACAAAGAAGAAGAGGGAGACTACAAATATCAACACCACAATGAGATCTGTACAAAGGTTACCACCACAAGAACCACTACAGCCAACACCACCCAACAAGAACTACTACATCCGTTTTTAATTCCACATGAAGAAATACTACAATCACTTCCACTATGACAGTAAGAACTACCACAACCATCTTCAGCACTTAAAGAACTAGTACAACCATCTTCAGCACTTAAAGAACCACTACAACCATATTCAGCACCTAAAGAACTACTAAAACCATCTTCAGCACTTAAAGAACTACTACAACCATCTTCAGCACTTAAAGAACTACTACAACCATCTTCAGTACTTAAAGAACTACTAAAACCATCTTCAGCACTTAAAGAACCACTACAACCATCTTCAGCACCTAAAGAACTACTAAAACCATCTTCAGCACTTAAAGAACTACTAAAACCATCTTCAGCACTTAAAGAACTACTACAACCATCTTCAGCACTTAAAGAACTACTACAACCATCTTCAGCACTAAAAGAACTACTAAAACCATCTTCAGCACTTAAATATCTACTACAACCATCTTCAGTACTTAAAGAACTACTACAACCATCTTCAGCACTTAAAGAACTACTACAACCATCTTCAGCACTTAAAGAACTACTACAACCATCTTCAGCACTTAAAGAACTACTACAACCATCTTCAGCACTTAAAGAACTACTACAACCATCTTCAGCACTTAAAGAACTACTACAACCATCTTCAGTACTTAAAGAACTACTACAACCATCTTCAGCACTTAAAGAACTACTAAAACCATCTTCAGCACTTAAAGAACTACTAAAACCATCTTCAGTACTTAAAGAACTAATACAACCATCTTCAACACTTAAAGAACTACTACAACCACCTTCAGCGCTTAAAGAACTAATACAACAATCTTGAGAACTTAAAGAACTAGTACAAACATCTTCAGCACTTGAAGAACTAGTACAAACATTTCCTACTACTGTTATCGCTCCCAATTAATGCTCTTACTACTACTTGTATGAATACTGCTACTGCTGCTGATACTACTTGTAGTAGCTGCTGCTACTACTTGTAATACTACTACTACTGCTGCTGCTGCTGCTACTACTAGTGCTACTACTACTACTACTACTACTACTGCTGCTGCTGCTGCTACTAGTGCTACTACTACTACTACTACTACTACTACTACTACTACTACTACTACTACTACTACTACTACTACTACTACTACTACTACTACTACTACTACTGCTGCTGCTGCTACTACTAGTGCTACTACTACTACTACTACTACTACTACTACTACTACTACTACTACTACTGCTGCTGCTGCTGCTGCTACTACTAGTGCTACTACTACTACTACTACTACTACTACTACTACTACTACTACTGCTGCTGCTGCTGCTGCTGCTACTACTTGTGCTACTACTACTACTACTACTACTACTACTGCTGCTGCTGTTGCTACTACTAGTGCTAATACTACTACTACTACTACTACTACTACTACTACTACTACTACTACTACTACTACTACTACTACTGCTGCTGCTGCTGCTGCTGCTACTACTACTTGTGCTACTACTGCTGCTGCTGCTGCTACTACTACTACTACTACTACTACTACTACTACTACTACTACTACTACTACTACTACTACTACTACTGCTGCTGCTACTACTACTACTACTACTACTACTGCTACTACTACTACTGCTGCTGCTGCTGCTACTACTTGTGCTACTACTAGTAGTGCTACTACTACTACTACTACTACTACTACTACTACTACTACTACTACTACTACTACTACTACTACTACTACTACTACTACTACTACTACTACTACTACTGCTGCTACTACTACTACTACTACTACTGCTACTACTACTACTGCTGCTGCTGCTACTACTTGTGCTACTACTAGTAGTGCTACTACTACTACTACTACTACTACTACTACTACTACTACTACTACTACTACTACTACTACTTGTGCTATCACTACTGATGCTTCCCTCTGTGAGTTCCGGGGTACTATTATAGGGAAACCAAGAATAGACCCACTGCCTAACCAAAAGCATGTCGTAAGAGCCGACTAATTGGGAGTTTTTTTAAAAGTCAGAATGCATCTGCCTGAGAGGCAAGGAACTAGCAGTCTGCATAGAAATGTCAGATCTGTAAACGGATGCACACGCAACAGTCAGTTTCTGGAGCAGGACTGCAGTCCAGAAGTGGACGAACAACAAGAACTTTCCACCAGAGTTTACAACTGGTGAACGCGAAGAAGAAGAAGAAGAAGAAGCAGAAGCAGAAGAAGAAGAAGAAGAAGAAGAAGAAGAAGAAGAAGAAGAAGAAGAAGAAGAAGAAGAAGAAGAAGAAGAAGAAGAAGAAGAAGAAGTAGAAGAAGAAGAAGAAGAAGAACAAGAACAAGAAGAAGAAAAAGGAGGAGAAGAAGAAGAAGAAGAAGAAGAAGAAGAAGAAGAAGAAGAAGAAGAAGAAGAAGAAGAAGAAGAAGAAGAAGAAGAAGAAGAAGAAGAAGAAGAAGAAGAAGAAGAAGAAGAAGAAGAAGAAGAAGAAGAAGAAGAAGAAGAAGAAGAAGAAGAAGAAGAAGAAGAAGAAGAAGAAGAAGAAGAAGAAGAAGAAGAAGAAGAAGAAGAAGAAGAAGAAGAAGAAGAAGAAGAAGAAGAAGAAGAAGAAGAAGAACAAGAAGAAGAAGAACAAGAAGAACAAGAACAAGAAGAAGAAGAAGAAGAAGAAGAAGAAGAAAGAAGAAGAAGAAGAAGAAGAAAGAAGAAGAAGAAGAAGAAGAAGAAGAAGAAACAAGAAGAAGAAGAAGAAGAAGAAGAAAAAGAAGAAGAAGAAGAAGAAGAAGAAGAAGAAGAAGAAGAAGAAGAAGAAGAAGAAGAAGAAGAAGAAGAAGAAGAAGAAGAAGAAGAAGAAGAGGAAAACAACAACAACAAAACCTGGCGAAGGAGGCGTAGACAGGGTTGGGCAGCAACAACCTATGAAAGTCCAGCAACATGGAATCAAATAAAAGACTTCAGAAACAAACAATAGGCAGTTTTAGTTTTAAAAAAAAAAAAACCCCGCTCTAGCGCATCTGAACTGGAGTAGTCGATTCGTTGGACTCGGCACAACTCGGCGTTCGATACCGCCAACAAAGCCGGGCTCTGAATGCACGTGCACTCTTCTCGTATTATCTATAAATGGCGACGA